CTTTTTTGAAAAAAAAAAAAAAAGGGGGATATTTCAACTCTCAGGATCACCGTATTGGTATTATATAACATATTTATAACTAGACATAGTTGCCGTAGTCTTGCCTGTGACTTGAAAATATCACACCCGTTCCCCATTCACACAAATATACTGAGCATTTGGGGTGGGGCTATCTTTTGTTTCTGAAAGGAGCAGTGTTTCTAGGCTTTTAGAATTAGAACGCACATGGTAGAAATTTAGCATTGTGAGCCTGCTTCTGATACAGTAATGGACCTTGAGATACTTTGGTCAATGCAGCCAGCCAGACTAAATTGCCTCTCCTTCCTCAGGTTTATGCTCCATCAGCAAGCACTGCCGACTACAATAGGGACTCGCCAGGCTACCCTTCCTCAAAACCAGCAGCCAGCACTTTTCCCAGCTCCTTCTTCATGCAAGGTAAGATGTCACCTCCCATAACCACAAACCCACTGTGCAGTATTCCCTGGCCTTTTCATGTCATATGTGGGACAAATGACTGCTGAAGTGATTGATACCCAAGAAATGGAATACTAGGAAAGTAGAGAATATTGAAGATCATGCTCTTCTTAGGAATTGTAGTCCTTACAAATAAACTAATTAAAGCTTTCCTAAGACCTGGTTTTTACCTGCAAGCCCCTTGAGCAATGATGAGTTAAAATTAGACTGGTTTGCTTTACTGATAACTGGTGCTCTTTGGAGGATGGCCTTCCGTGGCTGGTCATGTAAGCGGCTTCATCCCTCAAGAAGAGTATGTGTACATGATTTAACCACCTGGGAAAAACTTTTCATTGTAAGTAATCTTATATAAAAATTTTAGCCCTTACTGTTTCATAGGTAAGAACAAGCATCTCATTTGGATCGATGAAGTGACCTGTCCAAAGACACAGCAAAAACTTTACTCCAGCATGCTAACTGGAGTAGGCCCAAAGACCCAGTTTCCTTCCCAGACAAATGCAGAATAGTATAACTTCATGGTAGAAAAGTGTATTTCTTCTAACTGGTCAGTATATTTGATTAAATGCACGTGGATATGTGGTCCCTGAGTTTGCCACTGATAGCACAGCCCCCGTCTACTGCTTGAGAAGAGACCAGGATGGTTGAAATAGTAGCAGCTGCAGTGAGAAGAGAGAGTTTGGAGGGTGCAGCTAAGGCTCCACCTCTGGTATGTCTATGACACTGTCACAATGTGATGGTCATGTTACCAGGTTAATACTCTGCAGTTCAGATATGAAATTGACTGAGAGCCCATGCCTGCAAAACTTTAGCTCTTTCTGCCTGGCTGTGGAAACCCTGTTTAAGTGTGCCCTTGGCAAAGTGACTTGGGATTTCCTTCTTCATGCAGCCCTAGAAAGGGCCATGTCATGGCAAGGGGAGTGTGCTTGGGGCAGCAGATACCAGGGGAGCAGCCTGGTGTCTAGCTTAGATTACAGTGGACACACTCAAAGTCATTCTGATTAAAATGGATTTATTTTCTTTCCCTTTAGAGTGTCAGCTCTATTAGGTTATTAGCTCACTTGTGAAATTCCATGGAAAATCTATGAAATTGAATAGAATGGGTCCCTCAGGAATAGAGAGGATTTGTTCCACACATAATGGAGCCCGTGTTCATAGGGATCCCTTTATCTCTGTGACCCGTCCTAGGTGTAACTCTCAAAGGAACACACCAGGTTTGTCACTTGGGTGTGTTCTGTGCCATTACATCTACAAACAGCAGCCACATTAGCATCAGCTCCCTCTCTTGTGACCAGTCAGAGAAACTGTGCTGCCGGTGCTTAAAGAGATTGTCAGCTCAAGGATTCCCCACTCAGAACAGGTTTTCACTGAGGACACTGACGGAAAGATAGATGTCTTATGCCCGCCCTCAGGGAGGTGGCTCGCTTCAACTGCGCACTGCAGAGGAGATCGGGTGGGTTAAACAGTAGGTTCTCTCCCTGCAGACCACGCAAACGAGGAGGAACACATTTTCTTTTCTGCACATGAATACCCAAAAAGCAAAAAATAATGTTTTCGACTTGACATTTATGATGAGCACAATTAATTTGCACATGTCTAATTCTATTCTTTCAAAACAGCATTATGCCAAGATCATGGGATGTGATAAATATTAATTTACTGTGAAAAGCATAATTTATGTAAAGTATGTATTTTTATAGGTCTGCATTGATTTGAGTGTTCTGTGTTAACAAATCCTAAATGTATTTCCATATAGTGCCTCATGTTGTCAAAATGTTTCAAGAGACTCCTGTTCAATGATATATATTCTCAATTTATTTGTCATATATGCCATCTATTTGAAATGTTAGTGGTCTTGAACTTCATATTTGAAGTTAAGGTGACATCTAAACTTCCTCATTCTCAGGGCTAAATCTAAAGTCGATGAAAAATAACTTTTTGAAAGTCTTATGTTTTCACATTACGATCCCAGAAACAGCGCCTCGTGGTCCTGTTTCACATTGGCTTCCTTCAGTGAGGGGTGCATGGTGCCCTGGGAATTCAGGCCTTGAAGAAACATGCAGTTTAGAGGAAAGATATTCAGAGATTGTCAGAGGCATATTTTAAACCTACTACTGTGAGGCCTCTTATTTTTAACTTTAAATTTCCATCTTCTAGTTACAATTCTTAAACTATCAAAATCGCAGGCATGATTTTGCTTGCATAGTTCTTAAGACATTTATAGATTATTCCTCCCTATCCTGAAACTATTCCAGTTTTCTGAATTCTAACTTCTGAGTTTAAAATCTCAGAGAAAAGTCTCATGAAATAGAGTATCAGACTTAACTTGCCTATTGCCTAAATTTTCAAATGGCCTTTATTAAATAAAATGCATGGTGAAAATAATCTTATTTTCAGAAAGCAGTACCTGCTATATTGTTAGCACCTAGCTGATGGCATATCTGGCACTCAGTAATTTTTGTTAAACTTGACAGAAAGAAAAATTGAATGAACCCAGCAGTAACATAGGTCCTTCCCCCCACCCCTACCCACTTAATTTGAGAAACGTAAAACAAACAATCTCCCATACTAACTACTAGGCCAGTAGACCTAGAGAATGAAAAGAATCTGTAGGAATGTTTTTAATATGCTATTAACAAAATTTTAACTTGATATTAAAAGATACTTTATATAATTTTCATATTATTTTAAACCTCTTTTAAACTCATAGTTTTATAAAACCCAGAGGCCCCCACAGTTGACTGTAGCATAATATCCACCTTATGATGTGTGTACTCTTTGAATTTTGAATTGCTACTGAAGGCTTCAGATAGCCATATAACTAGATATCAAAAAATTAAAGGAAACAGAAACTCAGAACAATATATTTGAGACTCCTCTTCCCTATATATCATAATGTAATTCCAACTTTAATTCTATCTACTTTGTAAATGAAATTCAGTCTTTTAAATATGGGATTCTTTTTCATTATTACTTATTTCTTTATATGCTTTTTAAACTTGTAAACTTGCCAACTGTGTAATGTCTCAGGTATTTTATTTTCACCTGAAAATTTGAAACAATTTAACTTTTTAGTTAGTTTTCATAGAAAAAGGGATCAGAGTGCTTCTAACAAATGTCTCCTTTAGCATTAGCCTGCTAACTTGACATAATTCTATGTAGAAATGTGTTCTGTTTTTCTTTTACAGTTGAATTTTTACTAAGAACACTTTACTGTGTTAAATATTTATATTTGTTTGGCAATATAGAATCATTTGGGAAAAAATAATGATGACTTTTTTCAGATGTAACCAGCTAACTGACACAAAGATGAATGCACAAGAGAGAGCCATTTTCAAGTATCTGAGGAAAAAACTATTCTATAAAGCAAGGCTGACTGCCTCAGAGAAGTCACGGTTTTCTTTGTCCTTTACAGATGGTCATCACAGCAGTGACCCTTGGAGCTCCTCCAGTGGGATGAATCAGCCTGGCTACGGAGGAATGCTGGGCAATTCTTCTCATATTCCACAGTCTAGCAGCTACTGTAGCCTGCACCCACACGAACGTTTGGTAAGGCAGATTTGCATGGTAATGGGCACAAAACAGCTAGTTTGTGGAACCTCCCGTGTCTTTCCATGCGCGTACACAGGACTCTGCCAGTGAATGCAGAATCGGTGCTCACCCTCTGTTCTTGCAGTTGCATTGTTTCTGTGATCAAAGACGTAACCGAGCGAGATTACCTTTGTCGGTCCTTTGGGGCTCTTTGTCCTTGCCCTCCTGCTTATTGGCTCTTGTTCTGTGCTTTCTTAATCACAGCGTCAGCTTCCTTGGTCACATAGACACACACTGTATGTGAGCTGCAGAATTCAGCTATGGCAGTTCCTTTTTTTCTGTCTGTAGTTTTGAAGAATATACTGTAGGGGGCAGAGTGAGAATCAGTAGACTTTGAGGGGAGGTGATAGCATCACCCGTGGGCGTTTCCACGCCCCTTGACTGGCTTCTGTCAGTCGTGACAGTTTTGACCTGTTGCGCCACACTGGGAAGAGAGAGTTCATTTTTCTGTATACTCCCATCAGTAATAGCAACCATGGGGTTTCTGATAGAGCAGATTCCAAATTTTCCATATTTTAGCTTTAATTCCACACCTTCAAGCTCCCAATGATATTCTGTTTAGCCTCACTACAATTGAAAACTGCTGTAGAATGTTACCCTTTTTTCTTTTATTACTAAAGTTTCCACTCTGCCCATCACCTACACTCATCCATTCTGGAATTAACTGGTCTTTACCCCAGAGGAAGCAACTCACTTGATGTTTTTCTAGCCTCAAAAATAACCACAACCAAGAGTTCACTTATGAATTTAAGCCTATCATTAAATGGAGGAAAGAGTACTTCTAGATCATGCATTAGGTTTGGAATGCAGATAAGATGAGACCTAGTCCCTGTGCAATAATACAGTTTTAAAAATGTATGGACATCGAATCCTACAAATGTAAAAGGGTATGACCGGTTCACTTATCATTAGTGGTATTTATATCATTTCTCTTTATCTTGTAAGTTTCCCCTTTTTTCTAATACCCAGATTTATGTTTCTTTCTCTGCTTCGATCTAGGCTATTGTACTTTTGAGATTTCTGCGGTCTTTCTTCTCTTTTGTTCGGCCACTAGAAATATGGAAAAGGTGACTTATATCTCTTCTAACAACCGAAACAATTCCAGAAGTTATGATTTCTGAAATCCTTGAAAATACCTATTTATTTAGTCCTAGAGACAGAGGCACTATGTGGTCAATTAACCCATTCCTTAACGAGAGACAAATGATGAAGATGGAATTGGCCTTTTTATATTATCTCCTAAGTTTGAATGTGTAAATCACAAACTATCTCAAATTTCAGTACATTTTCACTAAATAGCAGATGATTTACTTGCAGATTTTCTCTTCTCCCACCTCCTGCTTGGAGGTATTAGAGTGAAAGCTTAGAGAAATATCAACTGTTGTTATACTAGAATTTCATCTTGGCTAACATTTTTACTTCCCTGTCATCATTTTCCATTTCTCTAAGAAACTCATGATCAAATCTACATGTGTCCTATGTGCAAGGAAAGGTTCGATTACACATAAAAGATTTTGGCACTATGCTAATATGTTGGAATTTCAGTCCTTTTTAAGAGTTGTCTACCTGACATTTATTTTTCTTCCCTCCTATATTTCTTTTTTCTTTCCCTATCATGGTCTAGAATTTTGATTTAGGTGGTTTGGTTTTATCCCAAATTCACTGTTTGGGGAAGGTCTCTTTAAAATGCTCTCAAGTGCACAAAATGTGTAACTTTATAAAGGAAACCAACTACATTTTTAAAAAGTTTTGCTGAACCAAAAAAATATTGTCCACCAGGAAGATCATTAGGAGGGAGTAACCCAGTAAATTGCATCAGACGCTGTATTTGTAATGTCATTTATTCATCACAAAGCACAGGGTTTTCATACTTAACACGATCACTTAGCAGATCTTAGAGAATAGGGACTTTGTTTTTTAAAAAGGCTAAGTGGCCTGGCGGGGCATGGTTCAGCGGTTGAGGGTCGACCTAGGATCCAGGCGATTGGGGTTCGATTCCCGGTCAGGGCACATGCCCAGGTTGTGGGCTCAATCAATGACTCTCTCATCATTGATGTTTCTATCTCTTTCTCTCCCTCTCCTTTCCTCTCTCTGAAATCAATAAAGATATATTGGAGAGAAAAAAAAAAAAAAAGGCTAAGTGAATTAGGTCTCTGGCAGTGTTTCCTAAAGAATTTTCTCACTGATAGGTCAGGAACTGTTGGATTATTATATTGAGTAATCATTGTAATTTCAGTAACCATTTGGAAATATTTGAAGAGACATTAAAAAATCTGACACTGATTGGGAATAATTTAAGTGTACAGTAGGCAGTTGGTATCCTTTCACTTGAAAATAATTGATAGTAACTTAAAATATTCACCTGCAGCTTCAGGCCTGTGCCATACGGAGCAAAAAAATAGTTTGAGAAAAAGAAGAGAGCTTTTCTTGTATTATTTTGGATATAATATGGCCAAATTAGTATTGTCTCTAAAGCTAAAATGTTTCAGAAACCTATTGTCAGTTTCACTTTATACCATGTTATAAGAGAATGTAATTATAAAGCTTGAACTCCGCACATTTCAGTAGCAACTGTCAGGTGACCAGTTTTGTGTCTTCAGATTTCCTGGTCAGTTTCAGCCTCTACACCGCAGCCCTCCAGCTCATCTCCACTGTGTCCTACGTGTACCTGCAGAGTCACTCGGGGATGGAGTTTGTGCTTGAGCTCTGGAATGGTCTTTGCAGAAGATTTAAGTTTGGGATGACTTGGATAAAGTCCTTGCTGTCTGGCATGGTTTAGGCCTGGTCTTTGCACTGCAGAGTAAAATAGTCCTTGGAGTCTGGAATCTTAATAAAAGCAAGTTCTCTTGTCTTTTATTTTTTGTAACATAAACCTTTTCTCCAGTGATCCTCAATCGGGTATGACTTTGCCCCTCGGGGAACATTTGGAAATGTCTTGGAGCAGTTGGCAACTGGAATCTAGTGTACAGGGGCCAGGGATGCACAGGAGAGCCCCCGCAGTAAAGAATTGCCAGGCACAAACCACCTAGTGCCGAGGTGGTAAAACCCCTCCTCAGCCTAAAGCCCGATTCTGTTCTTAGTATGTGCTACCAATTATTGTAGTTCCTAATTTTTTTATTGACACTATTACAGATGTCCCCCATCCCTCCCTTTCACCCACCTCCACCCAGCCCCTGCCCCG